CACGTCTTAATGTCGCGACGAATGTTCCGCTATGTGTTAATAGCTCTGCTTGGGTTTCTGTGGTTTTCAGCAGTCTTGATCACGCAATATTTTTATCGGCTTTTCTTTTCTTCTGGCAACATTTATAACTGTCTTTATTCACCATTATTTACCTCTGTCACCGTTACGAATTTTACATACAAAGTCGGGCGCAAAAAAAGCACCGTTTTCAGATGTTCGTTTTTTGTTTTTGTTTTTTTTTTGTCAGCCGACGAAGAAATCATTTACTTATCTACTCGTCAAAAAAATAAATACCCGTATCTCTCTGTTAGACTTTCCGCACTAGTGTTTAAATATCGTATCTCTGCGCCAAGGGGGCGTATTGTGAAGGAAAATGGCCTAACGTTATCGCTTTAACTTCTCAAGTTTCTTCCTGAAAACTGAAAAAATTACCATGCAATCTGTGCGTATCTTTTGACGTTCTCTATATTGCTCTTAAATTCTAGTTTCCTTTAATACTGAAACCTCATTTCCCCTTCCGTGGTATAAAACTGCATTTAATCGAAATTTGTTAATATGAAGAAAAACTAGGCAATAAATTTGTTCCTGATTAAAATATTCCGGTTTGTTGTCAACGATGTGTAAAAAAGACAAGCTTATTATCATTCGGAAACTCGCCAAATTTGACGAAACGGCGTTTCGTCAAACTGGAGACAGAAAGATCCCTAATGCGTCGACAAATTCAGAGAAAAAATAATTTCAGAGAGCAGCTTTTCGCATCGGTATGAATTCAGGTTTACTATATATCTTTGTTTTTATTTAGGAGGCCCCTTATTTTCAGTTTCGATTTGTGTGTTTTTCTTTACGCATTGCGTTTAAAAGGACTAATACAGATCAGTCTTTCTGATAATTAAGGAAAGCAGATTATTGAAATTTAGCCGTAAGAAGAACACGTTTTAGTTAATATCCTTCTTGTGGTTGAAATCGAATACCAGTTTCGAGAAGGAATTAGAATTTTCTTTTTCCTGTTCTAAAGTGTCTCTGTAAAAAACACTATTCTTTGTATTCTTTGTGAAATGTGTTTTCAACTTGGAGCCTGATGATTTCCTGAAACTACAAACACAAGATTCATTCAAACAAAAAGGCGTTTGCGTGGAGCACATCGATTGAAAAGGAAAATTTTGGATGAAATTTCTCCTTCGAGCAATGCTCGCACATAAAAAAACACGATTTCCAAATTTTTATTTAAAAACCTTGTCGAAATTCTTGTCATGCTTATGTGGAAAATTACCGTATTTTATTTCTCATCAATATTAGTGCGATTTTTGAATATTATTCGAAATGTTTTTGGAAGAATTATCTTCCCTCATGAACTTTTTAATTTTATTTTGGAAACTTCAAATTGCTGATGGCTTTGATCGGTCGTTGTAAAATAAATACGGTATTTTTCTTTGTCCCTCTTAATAATTAGCCTGTACAGTTTAGAGACGAAATGTAAGAGGGATTTATAACGATTGGCAGACCATTAAATATGAGTTTGTTACACTACTCAACAGTAAGAATAAAAGTGGCGTATTTTGAGATATTTCTTCGATACCCTTTCGAATTTTCAGCCAGTCAACATCGAAAGCCGTTCTAACACTGCGAGAACTGCTGCTCTAACTAAACGATCAAGTTATCATACATCTGGGGAGCCGTCTTTCTGTGGGTGAAAATTTGTGCATAGCATTAATTATTGAAATCGTCCATCGCATTTTCGATTGAAAAACTTAATGTTGTACTTTTGTTTTTCTTTCAAGTTGTAAATAGCTTTCAGATGTCTAGCTCGTTCCAAGAGATCCCTTATCGAGTTGGAATTTCCACATCTTGACCTCAAACAAGATTATGAACAAAGGATTAACATTAACACATTCAAAAGCATCGAACCGTTAATAAAAAAATAGGCTTCGTCCAAGGAAGAAAGGCAAAGGTCGTATAAAGGGGTTGAAGGACAGGTCTGATGGGTTCGTAATTGTCATCAAAGTGAAAGGCTCTCGTCATATTTCTTTCGTGAGGTGTGTTCAGTAAAAAAAAAAAAAGCCACTTGAAAGTCTTCCATTTAGCAATGTCGAGTATTTTTGTCCGGTTTAGGCGGATTCTCGAGTTACGTCGGCTGCAAAATGCACGCTAAGTTCAAGGCCTTTGGCAGAGCACGTTCGTGCCTTCGAAAGGGAAAATTGAAAAATTTCGTAAAAGGTTGAAACGGACTCTGTGCCAAGTTGTCAAATAAAGAAGGGAATTTTTATGGAAATTTCGATTCTTGATTATCCATTGCGTGCGTATTGTAGAACATGAGCTTTTCGCCGTTGACAAGTCGGCGGAATATCAAAACATCGGTTATCGAAAAAGTCTGACATGCTCTTTCGTTGAATTGTCAACGGTTCGCTCGCGTTCACGCGAGGATGCCGCGATCGCGCCAATAGGTTGTAAACAAACCTTCAATAAGATTGTTTACGCCGATAGAATCGACTATTATATCGAGCTGCTTTCCGCGGTTTAAGTAGCTAATGTTTACATCTGCCATCTGCTCACATCTTCAGCGCAAGCGAATAGACATCCTGGTTTAGTTAAAAGGAAACCTGTATCAACTATCATAGTATTATTGGCTCTTCTATTTACATTCCGTGTGAATGATGGAGGGCGCAGGAACAAAACAAAAAAATAATTGTGCTACCATCGCGCGCGCGAATTTCCCCTCCGATTTTCAATTTGTTTTATTAACTCATTCCTCTGTTAACATGTGAAGTTATTTCGCTTGTCGGCGGTCCTTGTTACAATATGCAGGGTATATTAAATAGCTAATATAGCTTCTGATTAGTTTTGCATTGTTATGGCTGCAGTTTCGCTTAGGGAAATTGTGTTTATTATCCATGTGGATTTTTCTCGTGGTGCTTAACGCATTTGTATCATAACGTTGAATCGTATGTTTTCCCTTCGTTTTGAATCTATTTGGTTTGCTCTTTGACAAGTCCTGTTGAGGATGAGAAAAAATATTTCGCATTGTTCTCAGAGAGCATTAAAATTGAATAGTATCTTCGTATTCTCAAAGTGTGCCGAGGTAATTTTGACGAGCAACGTATAACAATTTTTAATAAACCTCGCCGCAAAATTAAAAGACGCTTTGAGATGTTTTCGCTGCAGCTGGAGGCGAAATGCTTAATGAGATAGTGGAGACTAAATAATTTGTCGTCGATAAAATTTTGCGAGCGAGAAGGAGCCCTTAGTGTTTTCGGCAAAACATAAATATTTGGCCTGCTCCAAATTCTACACCACGCCCCGAGAAATTAAGCTATTGAATTTTTCATCGGGTAACATTCTATGTTTCTAAAATTAATGCTGGTGCTTGTTCAAAACCAAAGGTTTTGTTTGTTATAAAACGGTCGAACCGGTTGCTTGGAAGAAAAACATTCACTTAGGAAGCTTTTAGTCGATCTTCGAATTTGATAACAAACTCCGCAGGGAGCGAATACGGGAAGAATGGAAAAGCATTAAGTTCTTAAATTATACTGGATTCCCTGACGAGTGTTAAAATCAAAATGAGCATGCTATATTTTGTTGTTTAGATTGTTTTCTCGCCGTTCTTTGTTTCTAGACGTGTGGTTTTTCCACTCGACGGGAGGCTTCTGTCGTATCGCTTTCCATTCAACCCGTGGCATAGTTACACGCTTTCCTTAATAAGAATTTGCCAGCTTGAATTACTTCCTTTCATTCGCAAAAGCAGAACACCTTTTTATTTCTTCAAAAACAGTTTAGAAATATTTTGCAAGAGGAAAAATGACACGACTCAAGTAACAAAGTAATGTTTATAATTTAAAACGCTCCACAATGGAAAACTGAATTGTTTTTTCGGTATTTAGAAAATTAAAAAATTCAAAATTTGGGTGTCAATTTTTTGACACGAAGTCTAATGAACAACTGCCTCGCTTGTTCTCCGTCATTGTGAATATTTTTCTCAACATAAAACCACACAGTAATTCATTCTCACATAAAGCGTGAAAGTCAATCATCTTCAACAAACGTGTAATTCGCTGTACACCGTACTAATAATCATTTTTTAATCGTGTAATATGTTTAGGTGAAATTAAATTAACTTCGCGGCCAGTGAAATGAATTTGCCAAGCGTGGTTTCTGCTTTATCATGTTATCTGCTGACTATTTCGAACTACAGGAGGCCCTGAGAGACGATTTGCATAAACCCATCTTGTTCTCGCTTACATTTTAATGAAGTTGGTTCACAAGAAATAAACCCAATAGCTATCACCCGTTACGTTAGCATTGTTAAAAGCTACTATCCGTTACTATGAAGGCGCAGGATATTAAAGGCACAAGGGTATTAACGAAAATAAATCGCTTTTTAGCAGCGCATTTTCCTCTCGATTGAAAGCGTATTGATTCGGACAATCGCCTTACACGAATTAAAAACACCATTCATGCTCCCTTTTAAAAATTAAACCTTGCAAACACATAAGACAAACAGTAAACGAAACCCGACTGCCATGTCAAATTTCCTTTTTTCCTCTCTCTTTCGTGTGATATGTTGGCGTTTACTCAACGTAAGAAAGATTCTCCATTTCAGGTCATGAAAGGGAAAAGTGTGAGACCATTTTTCATCCAAGATATAATTATAATGATTCGATGGACACCTAGGTTCCTCGGAACAAAAGCTTTAACAGCATTTTCTGTCGTTTGCGAATTACAATTCCATTATCTGAAAAAATAGTACTACGTTTTGTTTGCTAACCGAAATAATTGGCTTTTGCATTCAAGCTCCTCCTCACTGGCAAACGCAATCAGCAAAATACGGAAAGTGGCGAAAAATATTTTGCCGTGGGATAGCCGGGTAAATTTCTCTTAGAAATACGAGCAATTTGGCCGTAGTTTTGACATATATTTGACGCTGCGAGAGTCACTGCCCCGATGGGAAATTTTAATTGGGGGGTTCCACGTAAATTAAACGTGATTCCAGCCTTTGTTAATGTTTGTTGTTTTTTGATTTTTCCATTGTTAAACTGTGTTTCTGACTCAACGTTGGCTCGGTGGATGATTGATAGGTGCTGTACATTATAAATTAATTAACATTGTTTGGTGCGTAACAATATATCAGATGATCACACCCGCGCTTCGGGGAGAGAAGAATAAGCTTGCAAACAACGTAACGGTCTTAGGCCAACGACGGACGGGCAGGCAGGCTAGCAGGTTCGCTAAGCGTGGATGCGGTTAAACGGATTCGACGAAACCGTTCTCAATCAATCGCGCGTTTTTCACTGCCCGTTAAACGTTTTGTGTCTGTGTTTGCTGCCTGGTAAATCAAGAGAAGTTTTGTCTTAGCTTGAAAGAAGTGGTTTCCGTGGTTTACAGAGGCTGATTATACGTGGGGCCAGCGCAGCTTTTAAAATGCCAAAATCATTTTTGGTGAAGAAAAAGAAACCTCGACGCGCCGAAGACGGCGAGGCTGTAGAACCCGTGGAAGCCGTTAGGAGTGAGGATACCAACACAGGTAAGACGGACAAGATTACAGCTTCTCTTAAGCCTGAAATATTGTTCATTCCTTATTCTACTTGACCCTTTGACAAACGATTTTGTTCGTAGTTTCTTCCTAACATTTCCTGTGCCATGTTCACCGTTATAAAGTGTCACAAAATTACGGGCGCAGATGTTGCTGGTCGAACGGTGCTATAACGGAACAGCCCTTTTTATTTTACTCTAACAGAAATGTCGCCTTCTCAAATCTACGTCTACAGCCACAAATTGTTGCGTTTCCGTCGAGAAGGGACTTTTTAAAGGCCCGAAGTATTTTGCTTGCGGGGTGCCCTGAAAGCAACTTTAGGAACAATGGTGATATGTTACTACAAATAGTAAACCGATGCTTATCATCAGAAATCACGGCTTTGGCAATTGGTTTCCGTTTAAGAGCTTTTTATGATCGCGGGGAAAAAGTGGGTATTTTGGCGACTTAGATTTGATTTTTTGTGAGGTTGAGTTCGTCGCGGAACTTTAGTTTTGAACGCGCGTAATGCATTCCGTTTTTCTCTCGAGGCTTACAATTGAGGTTAAATGCAACGGACATTCGATAGGGGCCGTGTTTTGCCCACAACCTATTACACGGTAATGTTTGGACGTCTGTGAGCACGTAAAAACACACGCTGCCTAGTCACGAAAAGTAATTCGAAAGCTTTCACTGATTACATTGTGTACACTGGGCGCTGAGATACAAAGCAAATGACAGCCGCGCGAGGCGCCGAATTGATTTCTGCCGCTTAGCTTGCTAAACAGCAGCCCGAATTGAAGATAAGTGTTATGGTCTCGTTGCAGAGATAATCAGGAAAAAAGAATTCAACAATGCAGATCATTGATTCATTCATATTCAAATTTTACACTGTGTAGTGATAAACGCCATTTCACAAAGGAACTAATGGATACATCAATTGACATACAATAAAGATTTTGTGTAGCGTTTAGAAAGCAGCGCGTGGCTATCCGTTAAGCAAAATTATTTTGTCGGGCGCTTTTCAAATGCAAGATTTCCCCCGGCTTGATTCGATGCCCGTTTGCGTGAATTTCTCTCGCCCTCGCCAGAATCGTTCACGAAAATTAAGCGCTGGAAATAAATCGATCCGGTCGTAACAATTATGTTTAATTTAAATTTATGTAAATTCCCATCACTTAAAATGCGAGATCTTTCAGATGCTGTCCATTTCTCGTGGTTTTTGCAAATGACGTGTAAACCGATTCTCCACTTGTCAATTTTACCCTGTTTAGACGTATTATTTCGAAAACAAAAACTCGGCCGGTCGGCACTTTTTTTGTTTGTGCTCCTACATTTCCACGCCTTTCTAAGCAGCTTTGCAGTGGTTCGAGTCGGTGTAAGACAAGGCCTTAAACACTTAACTCGAGCATTTTTAGGCGCAAAAGAACCGACATCTTAAAACGTGATCATATAGCCCGTCAGACAAGCATTTTAAAAGCACATTTGCCGTGCGAGAACGGGGCAGATGTTCCCATTTCTAATTCGAACTCTTTTGGCCGCGAACTTGACAGAAACACTACTTAACCCCTCTGCGTAAATACATTTCGATCAAAGCTTTTCTTGAGAGGAAACACACTTGAACGTGGCCGGCCAGCTTAGCTTTGAGAACATCGGTGATTAACGCACGCGCCCGGGCGGCTTCACAGCTGCGATACGAAGGTACATTGGGCGACTTTCAGTTTCGTAGGAACACATCGGTAGCCCTCAGAATTTTCACGCGGATGGCAAGAGCAGGTTTTTTGGCGCGTCAGTTTACCTTGTCTATTTTGAGGCTCTCTGTTAATAGAATTTTAATTTTCACCACGGTGTTTGTTAAGGTTCCTAGTAGGTGATGGGTTTCAGTTAATAAACCACTTTGTGATTGAGAACATAGCATGGCTTTTAATTCAATAAATTTCCCCTTTCTGCGAGGTGTCCAAATTAATGAAATTAGAGTGACTCGAGCTAGCTTTAATTGACTGGAATAAGAAGACAGCGAACTGAAAACGCCCAAGCCACCACTTCCAAGTTTGTTCAACAAAATGCAAGTTTAGAAAATTACTGTTCGAGAGCGGAAAGATTTCCTTTTTTCCTTCCTGTGTTGTCACTTCGAAACGTAATCATTGCCTTTGTCAATCGAGATAAAACAGCAAGACTACAATATGATTTTATGGATTTATTGTGTCGACAAAACTTGCGCACTCTATAAAATAAAACGCTTTGTCTTTGATGTGAGAAAACTCGACATTTCATAAAATTTCACCGGTTGTTTGTTTACCTGACCAACTTGTCTTTAAGTACCCCACACGCGCTTTGCCTTGCTCGTTAAGATTATAAAACCATTTTGTTCACTCTCGTTTCAAACGTAATTATATATATTTCCTTTTCACTTTGTCTCTGAGTATCGATAAAGGTGTAAAGATCTTCTTCCGAGTATCGGATTTTATCTCTTGAACGAACAGTCAAATGAAGATTTTAGATGTGTATCACCGAGAACTCTCGCAAGATGTACCCGGCATATATGCAAAATCTTTGGAAGATTAAACACGTGAGCATTTTTAAGAATAAATCTCTCTCTTAGGTATTTTTTTCTACAATAAATTGTCGAAACGTAGCTGATACAGTTTTTCTTCACTCTTAAAATTCACAAGTTTGATTCAGACTGATTTTTCAGTGGGGCTTTATCGCTACTTTCAAAGTGTCCCATTTCGTTTCCCTTCCATAAACACTTGGATCGAAACCTTTGGCGGCCTAGTCTCGAATTTCTAATTTACAATCTCTACTACAGCGGATAAGTTTCATCGGCAACTAAAGCTAGAAGTTGTAAATTTCGTTTTCAAATCCGTTACGGAAAATCGAGAAAAACTTGCTATAAACTTTCATTGTGAAAGCTCCCTCAAAAAACTTTCTGTCGATGACGCGATTTTATTTTCGTGTGTACTTAAGATCGGTTATTTGATTTAAAGACAAATTTTTTCTTGGAATTTTCTGTTTCACGCATATGGGAATAAATGTTCTTGAACTTGACTTTAAACACAGTACTTATTCAACTAACTAAAGCCCTTCTTTGAGAACCTGTTGTCACAAACGTGCAATTTTCCCCTCGACATTGCACTTAATCTTAGTGTGTACCGAACACCATCTAGAAAGTGACTTTTATGGTTTTATGTCAAGAATGAAAATTGGCTTGCGTTCTTTTAAAGAAGAGCCATATTGTTTGTAAAAAACTGGGTATCGAATGTTTTCTGTGGTTTCGACGCAGAAGTGAAGTCCGCCCTTTTGTGTTCAAACGGCTTGTTTCGAAAAGCACCTTTTTATCAGATAACATTTGATTGCAATTTACGAAACAACACCAAGACGGATCGAGAAAATTAGCTACTTTATATTTTGACAGAACATGGGGATAGAACTCTCGTGATACCGCGTTTCTTTCCAACCGCAAAATGTGATATTCCCAAAACGTGGTGTTGAAACGTGATACGATTTTGGCAGAGTTTTTTTGTCTACGTTCGGTGAAAATTTGTGTTTCTTTCTCGCGACCCGTTTTGAAATTAATTTTTTGCTTTGGTGTCAAGAAATTCGAAAGTGTTAAGTGTCGAGCGGGTTGACTAGATAAAATAATAAACGAAAAGTCGTTAGACAGTTTCCCTATTTTCCGGGTGACTGGATTGTCTTCTTTATTAACAGAACACGTGGGAAAGCTTGTTATTCGATTGTAAATCGAAATGAAATGAAAAAATATTTGTTCCTTCCCATTTTAGCAGGTTTTTCTGTGTGTTAAGAAAGTGCGAGAAGAAAGAAACAATTTCTAAACTCGTACAATTTTTTTTTTTAAATTTCTCTCACATGTAATCTTTGCAGATGCGAAGACTGATTATTAATTTTAAAACACGATTAAATTGCTCCGAGATCTGAAAAACCAAAGGTGTTGAAAAAGCTACCCGTAGATATGTATAGTTAATTTAAACTGCGAGGTTATTAAACCTGTATAGACAGCTTGTTCAATTTACAAATACTGGTATGCTTTCTTGATTTTGACATATTTTTCTTTATGCTTTCCTTGGACTACACCCTAAAAAAAAGCTCTTATTTGCTTAAAGTCTTGCCTGTTTCGTGAATATTTTAAGAGCACATTTTCATTGCCCTCTTTCGTCCTCACTTTGTTTATATCTTGTGAGCTTCTGGAGTTATTTTCCCAACCCAATGATTCTTTAATAAACCAGGTTACTTCAGGGTAGGAGTAAAAATTGTCAAATTGAAACAGTGCTCTCGAACGGAGGATTTCTTTTCACGCTTGACGTAATTTAGAAAGCTTAACTATTAACTAACTGCCGTGTGGTGTTATTCATGATTCATAACTTCTAAAAACCATTTTCTTTATTGTTTGAAAACTCCCGCAGTTTTCTCTGGCGCTGAACTATAGGGAATTTCACAAACGACGAATATAGCATGTGAGGTATTTGTTTTTTTGTTTGTTTGTTTTTCAACTTTAGATGAAGAACTTTCCTTGGCGGAGGAAATGGAGGTGGAGACAGTCGAAATACTTGACGAGGAAGGAAAAGACAAAGATCACAACAAGGAAAGTTTATTGAGCAAGGACATAGAGCAAGAAATGGCGACTTCTGTTTGTAAGTTTGACGGTGAAAGAGATTCATTTGCGGTCCAACCGGTTGAAAAGAGAGACGCGAAACTGGAGCGTTCAAGCGGCTGTAACGATATTTGTTGGTGGAGTAGTATAACCTCGAGGTATGAATTACAAAATCTTCCTCCACCCCCGAAACTCATCAGCTCTGTGCCGCGAAACGGCTTTTCAAAGATGCATCATTCTCACCCAACAGAACACGAGCGTTCTGTCATTTCTTTGAATCAAAGACATCATTTTCCACTGACAGCAAACGGTTTTGGCGTCATGAACTTCCACGAGCATCGGGTCCCGTCCATAGCCGAGTCAATACCTGTTCGTGGATCCTTGGATGGGCTTCGAGAACTATCGCTGAACCTTCGGCATGTTTCGGAAGGCCGTCGTGATTCCCCGTTGTGTCCGAGTATTCCACAGCCATCACCCGCTCCGCAGTTTAACGGCAGCCATTTCTTCATCCACAGTCATCCGTTTTTAACTTCTCACCAGCAGCAAGAGTGTCTAACAAATCTGCAAAACAAGGAACAGGCGAGGAAGGGCAGCGAAAGCGAGGAGACGAAATACAAATGCGAAATTTGCAATAGTTCGTTCACTCTTCAACGCCTTCTCAATCGCCACATGAAAACTCATTCGTTCTACAAGCGTTACCATTGCCAGTTCTGTACGAAAGGTTTCAATGATACCTTTGACTTGAAGCGCCATATAAGGACACATACAGGGATAAAACCATTTAAATGCAGCCGATGTGACAAGTCTTTCACACAACGATGTTCTCTCGAGGCGCATCTAACACGCGTTCACGGCGTGGTACATAAGTTCGGCTTCCGCGAAAGACGCTCAAAACTGTTCGTTTGCGAGGACTGTGGTAGCACGTTTACGGAAAATTCCGATTTTATGAAGCATCTGCATGAGTTTCACCCCGAGACTGAGAAAATCATGAGAGCACGAAGAAACGGGGGATTCGTTCCAAAATTGAAGGGTGACTGTTAGTTAAGGTACTGTACTCAGAGATAAAAGGCACTCTTTTAGTCATAGATTACTGTGAAGAAGTCGGTCTAATATCAAAAGATACATTTTGACAACAGCAGTCCTAATGAAAAGAACTATTTGGTGAAATTCCTTACATATTCTGTTTATTCTTTGAAAGCCAGTCGTCAAGGGTCTGTTTTTCTCATAACCCGAGGCTTTTTAGGAAAAAGGGATGTCGTGGATTACAAATTCACTAGATCACAGCAATCAAAAAAAAAATTAATAAGCGGAATGAATGGTATTGCGAAGTTCTTTGATCAAAATATTAAGCAACAGTCGTACAAAACTTTGTTCATTTGCATCAATACGAAGCGCTTTTAAGAAAAGAAATTTAATGTTTACCAGATCACAGCGATTACAAAACAATAATGGTTTGGATGACCAGAGGAAGACCAAATGGAAAATTATTACAAATATGGAATTGTACACTAGCAAAGCTCGGAGCAAGGCTGAAAAAAGTCAATTTAACTGGCCCTTTAAAGTATTGATGAAATTGTTTTCTCTCGAGAAACGTTTCCCTTCAAAATTACATGTTCTTCCTCAGAGAGCTTTTTTCAAGAAGGCTTCACTGAAATAGCGCGTGTTTGGTTGTCGTTTACTTTTAAGAAAAATATGTTAAATTCCGGCCTCTCAATGTTCTTATTAAGCTTTCGCCCTCGTTTGTAGTTGAATTGTGTTTTTTCTGGTAAGCTGAGTTGAAAAGGATTACCACAAGCTAGGGTTTTCTAGCACAGCTGTCTCTAATATTTTGACTAACTTTGTGACCACGTCTACCTTGGAGATGATGGAGGGAGTTGGTTATTTAGAAGCATTCAGATTATCAATAAAAATAGAGTGCCTAGTTTTCGTTTATCGAAAACATTAAAACTTCTGCTTTGTATCTAAGAATATCCTATCACAGAAAGATCAGTCGTATTTAATTAGCTTTGTGCTATGTTATGAACGATATTCGTATCTGAGAAACAGATGTATAAATATTATTCTCAACTGAAATACTACATTAGTTACACTTTTATGAATTCATAAGCATTCGTTGCGTTCATTTACCGCCCATGCAGCTCTTGTAATCATTCAAAACGTTTTTCCATTCGTTTCTTCGCTAGTGAAATTCGCCTCTTAGTTGCATAACATGTTATATAATCGAGCCACTTACATCGAAATAAATTTATATTCGTGAATTATTAAACAGAACATGCATTGAAAGGGCTGTTTTATTTTTAACAATTTTCTCTGGTGTTTTGCTCCACATTTGTAAGTACATCGTAAGATTTCTCCTTAGGCAGCCAACTCCCCGGAATAATAACTATCACTGAAGCCCTCGAGAGTGGGTGACCTAGGAGAGCTTGTGGGAGAAATGACAGTTCGGTGATTTGTGTAGGTGGTAACCGCCAGCCTCGATATCATGTCGAGGCTAGTACAGCGTCACTTTGTGCAAAAGAGATTGAACTTAAGAAATCGCTGCTAGGTGATTGCAATTAAAAGCAGTCTTTTCAAAAGTGAAGTGGGCTTCTCTAACTTAGTTGGAATCAATTGTAGGGCAAATACCATCTGCCTTTCAATGTAACGTACGTGCCCTTAATTCGATACTTCTCAGAAATTTAAAGGGGTTGTGTCATCTCGTTGTCGTGGTAACCGACTGGAATCCTTCGAACGACAGGTTTATTGCTGCATTCTGTTTCAAAGTTCGAAGGACAACCAGTCGATAATATCCCCTCGTGCAATCCGAATTCTCTGTAGAGCAGCCATTTCTAACCCTCGTGCCTGGCAGTTTTGTGTGCTTTTTTTTCGCTGCTTCGCCGCCTGTAAATTAATCAAGCGCCAAAAAACCGTCAGCGGCACAGCTGAAGCAATTTATAACGATCAAATCCAAAGAAATATGTAGCGAACTATGACACAATTCCTTGAAGTTATGGGACTCACCCAGAATAAAATCTTCTTTCGGATCAAAATAGATTACATATTAGAGAGGCAAGCTATATTCATGTTCTTTCCAAAAGATACAATTCAAATAATAATAAAAATAGTGAATAAAAAAGTAAGAAGTCACAAGACCCCTAAGATTGATAAGCATCTAATTTCTCCTTACAATATCACCCCTGAGTCAAACATTATGGTCACGAGAATAAACTAAGCTAAGCTCCTACACATACAGGACAGTATGGAGAACATGCATACTGATCAGTATTAGAGTGTAAAGAGTAAAATGAACTGTAAGAGTTGAAATTTGTACTTTGTCGCCACGCCTGCGTGTTATAAGCGATAAGAGGTAAAAGTCTGTAGCATGCGCAGCATGGCCTAGGTGTCCTGACAGACCTGAGCTTATCTTCGTCACAGCACCACATGGCAAATAAACATTGTTGCAATTTCTCCAGTTATCAATGTTAGTCTAAGGCGGGTTACCCCCTGATTTTTTTCAGATTACCCAAGTCTTTTGCCGGTACTCATTTGTACTACTGGATTAAGGAAAGTAATGTGATAGGACCGCTCCAGAACTGAACTGAATTTGAATGTTCATCAGAACTAAAACTACTACAAATGTTGTCGTAAAATGTTCTGATGATAAATCTTTTACCAACCCACGCTAATGTGTAAACAAAATTAATTTTTTTATCGCAATGTGGTCTTTACACTTATTCTTTGTTCTGAACCGGTTTCTCTTCTTTCCGCCATCTTGCAAGCTGATTCTACAACGCAAAATTGCGTTAGAAAAACACATGTCAAAATTGTTTAATCAGTTGTGAAATCTTGCCGCTGTCATTCAAACCACACCAAAATGAACGAAACGTAAATTACTTTTATTTATTATTCTTTACTTTTTGGCAAGTCTGGTGTTAGTCCAGCTATTCAATTGATCGATTGTTGCAGAACTGGGGCAAAAATATAATGCACAGGAACCTCAATTCCCAACCCCCCCCCCCTCCCCTCCCATCTGACAAAAATCCAACGCGACGAAGCAGACTGTGCCATTCGCAGTTTATTGAGGGCGCGGGAAATCAGACAATAAGGCCGTAATGAGATGTTGCGACTGTTCTTTGTTCGAATCAGGTCTTGGAAAACATTATTTATCAAAAAATGTGTAAGGATATTGTGCATACAAATCTCCTGCTAAAACTTAATCAAATTAGAATTATTGCTTTATTGAATTATTGGCCAAGGTTATACCAGTTCTCTATTTCCTTGTAGAACTGGAGATTCTCTAGAGAGATTGATACAGTCGGCTCACTCTCTGATTCATCAAACAAGGCTTCAGCTACAGGTCGATTGTTCAATAGTTCTCCTCGACTCTTTTCTCGAAAATCCTTAGGTCAAACTGCGATGCATCACATAAACAGATTAAGACACTGATTTAAACAACAGAAAGAACCAGACGCGAAAATACCACTGGACATAAACAAACAGCATTCCTACGGACTCCTTGTCTCACAGTACGTAAGCTTGACATGCTACGACGCAACGATATGACGTCATAGTTCATATTCATATCAGCAAGAGTCTTTTTTGCTTACGTACAGTCTTTAAAATCATCTTAAAAACCGCTTACGTACAAATTTTTAACCTTATACACCGCAATAAACAATATCCAGTTTATTTTTAAACCCTCATCATTTTTTAAATCCGTTTAGGTCGAATAATCGGCAAGGAACAAATTTAGAAAGGTTCAGATACAGGTCGTAAAGCACTATGTATTTTAAGAGCCCAATATCATTCAAGTTCCTAATTACCTTCGTGACCAAAGCCTAAGTCTTTGAAAAATTTTATGGGATCACAGAATTATGAGTGAGTAGAGTGCATCAGGGCTTTTTTGTCATGGAAACATCTCTATCGTTTTCGTGTATTGCAGTTTGTCTTTTAATCTTCTGGTTTAATCACCATCGTTAACTGTTTCGATACTTGTATCTGCATCTTCCTGTTCTCGTGACACTAATTTTAAAATCTGAGATTCATCCCAACGCCGACGTCTTTTCTTTTAAAACCCTTGAAATATAACAATGGCCAATCACTGAAAAAAATATCAACTACTTTTCAAGGCGCCTGTTTGTTTTATCACGTCAAAGCTACCATTAGTTATTCAACTTATTTTATTACCCACCGTTAGTACAGAGCTCAGATGACACATTTTTTAAAGAGGGGAATTATCGATGTTAATTCGTCCTTCTTTTGCAAATTGAAAATCATCTTTCCTAGTTGTTTTACATTGCTGCAACGTATAAAAGGCTGTAGGAAAGCATCTTAAGGCTCCAAGGGGTTTGCACGAGTCTTGCTATTATCGTCGGTTTCAGTCTTACCTCTGGTGGGCAGCTCATAATGTTTCGGTAATTTTAAAATATTCGCCCTAGTCGATGTGTCTCGCAATGTAAAGAAAATACAAAGTGCCAATGTCAAATACAGTATTGCCCTTTCACAGCGAACACTTAAACTTTATCTTACATTTAAGTGAGTTCACGCGCGTGTGATTGATTTTTTTTCATAACAAGTCAAGGTCTCGGACAACTTATCGGAACACAACGCAGCTGAAACCAAATATCTGCGCATTTCAGTCGTTTCATGATAGACAGATCATTTTTTTTTAAACAACTTCAACTCGTCAATTTGCTGGGTCAAGTTTGTCGAAGTATTTCTGGAATGGTATACGTCGCCGGTTTCAGTGACTCTGGTACGTATCTTCGGAAAGATTAGAAACAAACGGAAGATTTATATATATATATATATATAGGGAACGTATAACATGTACGAGTATCTGCAACCATTTGAAAAACATCGATATAGTTACGTCATTAATATTGCCAATATTGCCATCATCAACTTTGTTTTGGTTACGGTTTTTCTTTTTGAATACAACGAGTGCTTTCCCTTTTTCACACACCCTGCCTCGACCCCAGGATTCTTCAGGAGTCAAAATTCAAGATGGCGGGGAGGCAGTCCAGTCATCGCTTACACCGCGGAAGAACCACGACAATTTTTGCCACTAAAGTGAGACTGACAAAGGTGAATCTCTTTCTGTCTCCCCTGTACCAATGCTAGAAATAGGTGTTCCGTTGCAAGAGTCCCAGAGAAAATGATGTTCGTTGCTCTATATTTGCCAGTTCCTTGAGTTATGTTGTCACAACAGCGCGGAAAGGAAGTTGTTGACTGGGTTTTTTCTCTATCACAGTCTCATTTTCCTTGATCCAAAACAACATTTCCTTCAATATTTATAATGGTCTCAACGAAGTGTGTACCAAGGAAATACTATACTGAAAATTCGAATCTATCTTGTTAGTCATGTAAACCTTTGCCTGAGGGCTGTATTCCACTCGATTTTGTAAAGATTTGAATCAGTTGTATTTCAGTTTTGCTCATCAAATATGGGACATCTCCACCCTACCCGCCTGGCTTAAGAACGGAAGGATACAGTGAAAGGAAATGAACCATTGTTGTATAGGAGGTGTAACTTACGCTAGATTTAATGTTATAATCTGTGCCGATATTTCTGTAAAGATCAACGAGAACGGGAAACTAAAAAAATCGATGAGCACACAGGAATATAACTCAGGAAGTGTAAATAATTTTTTTCGAGTTCAAGATACTCCTTAAAAAGGAAACTGGTTATACTATGCCTAATGTCACATCAAACTGAACATGTCATAAAGTGTTGTGTTGTAAAACATCCTAATGAGGATACATTTTGACTTGAAAAGTTGACATTAAATTGTTACCAAAAATTGTCGCCTGCACATGTCAAATTTCTTCCCTAGTTAATACTCAGCAATCAATACAGCAAAAATGCCTTTTCACATTATTTTATTAGCTGTTAAAATGAAAACACTAATATCTAAGTGAAAATTTAACATATTCTTATACAAACCGGTGAGTAATGTTCGGTGAAAGCTTTTATTGGCAAATCAGTATACACTCAAGAAGGGTAATTCTTGTACCTTTTAGGTTAGAAAGTTCTATGTATATCAAGTGAGAGTCAGAAACGAGCAATTGTACTCGATGGCTGGTTATGAATTGTCACATAGAAGACTGTTTCTTTTCAAACTTGGACACTGGCCAACTTTCCATCTTACACAGCATAACAGAACTTCATGAACTTAAGAGCTTCTCAGTAAAACTGAATTTAATCACTTCAAGATTTACAATCCAACAGTTTGATATCTTTAATCATCGATCAAATAAAACAGATCTCTTTTCTTCCACATAAATTTTGGACACCAGATACT